AATTGCATATGTTTGAAAGTATAAGAGAAGAATGATGGTTTATGGCTATGGTTGTAGTTAATTCTTTAAGAATATTCAAAACCATTCTGCAAGAATAGTTTATTCTGTAAGAATATTATTGTTGTATTCTGATAGAATTGTAGTTAATTATTTGTATGTTTAATGTGCAGTTGTTACCAGTGTATCACTACGAATTAATTGGCAATGAATTTCAGATAGAAATGGCTTGAAGAATGGCTTGAAGACCTGATGGGAAAGGCTTGAAGAATGAATTAAAGAATGATCACACTCATTGTTTAAGAATGTTGTTATTTTTTAAGAATTATACTTGTTATTCTTTCAGAATGTTTGTTATTATTCAATGAATCACAATCATACAATGTAATTATTTGGTATATTATTAGTTTAAGAATCGATTTTGTGTATTCTTTCAGAATGTATTTACTAGTTTATGGTTGACATTATGTGATTCTGACAGAATAAAATCGAAAAATATATTTACTAGTTTATTGCTAACATTCTATTATTGTGACAGAATAAAATCGGATTTTTAATTTTGAATTAATTTAAAATATTCAGATTTTTAAGAATAAAGGAATTAATTATCCCTAAAAATATGAAAATTTCCTTTTTTAATATAGGTTAATTGACTAAAATGCCCTTATGCTGAAATTTGTGTGATTATATGGTACATGCTATCCTATTCTACTATCATAGACCCTCAGATCATGACCATTGATTATATTCCATCCAATGGTCCAGATCTGTGCATTCTGACACACAATAGTTACTAGAAACAAAATAACCTAAGCCTATATATATATATATATATATATATATATATATATATATATATATATATATATATATATATGTGGTATAACATTGTGGGATTGAAATCCCTATGTACTCACCAGGTTTCCCAACCTAACCCACTCAGTTTATTTATATCACATGTACTGATACGAAGACACGTTACACTGAGAGATTAAAGGAGATGTAAATCATTAGTGTAAATGAATGTAAGGTCTGTTTATGCTTATTTTTCTTTATTGACAATGACATCAAATACATTTCTTCGGAAATGCTTTGATAATATCTTTATCATGTTTTCTGGGATCAAATTCCGCAATATCATTATTTAAAATGGATACTCTGATTTTTAAATAAGAATAAATATTTTTTTTTGAATGACCGTGAATTTGGGGATGTCACATGAGATATCAATTTATTAATCATTTTGTATACTTCTTTATGTTAACTTGATTTTCTTAGTACCCACTTACTTTGACACTTAAAAAAACTCATTTAGGTTGATATTGCATTAGTTGATGCCTTTTAGCTCATTCAAACAACCTTTAAACACATTCTTTCATCTTCTTTACATCTATATATATACATATATACCTGGTTGATTACACATTCAAATTGACATACGTTTATGGCTAAATTGCATCATAGAGTTATCTTTGACATTATAGCATGTGAAGGTAAGTATTAGGCATGGTTTAACATAGAGAAATCATCAAATAAATCACCACTCAGTGCTAAAAATCTAGTCATGCCACTGCCACCATGCCATGGTGGTGCTGTGGTGCACTTCAGACGACAACGAGGGATGTCGGCGGTAGCCTTCGTGGTTGTTCAAGATGCTACTGATGCTAGAAGGGATAAAAATTAGAAGTAGAATACCTCGGATGAAGTTAAACAAAATAAAGCCAGAAGGAAGTCTCTCATACTCTCCCTCATCGCTAGCACTGCTACTCCCTTCTTTCCCACCTCATTCTTTCATCGGTGATGCAGCAGCCCCAAGAAAAAAGATGTGTGTGCCATCCCAGAAGGTGAGGAGTATTCAATATTTTTTTATTCACGTATTATTTAAGCTAAACCTTATGATTTTTTGAAAGAATGTTAGGAAGTAGGGCTAATTACTGTGCCAACCCAATCGACATGTATTTACTTTTTACATGTTTCTTATTTAAGAAAAAGACTTTGTTAATGTTGCTAATAAATATGCCATGGTTTTTTTTCCTTTATAAAATGGGAACTTATAGAAACTATTAGAAATATGGTTTGTTTTCCATGTCATTGTCAAATTTGATATTATATTAAATGTTATAATATATTAGTTGTATAATGGACAAAATTGTGATTAATGGACAAGATTGTTAAAGGATACCAATATCATGATAACACATGTTAAAGCGCTAATATGTTTATATGTACATTTATATATTCATGGTCCAGTGGGAGATTTTTAGAGAATATTATTGTAAATGTATAAGATTGTTGATGGACTGATATTGACTTACCATTTGTGGCTTGAGTTCCTGGTTTGACTCAATATCCTCAAGATCTCTTCCATTTATCCTATTAGAGTTTATCTCCATCTATAAATACATGTGATGAGGAGAAAATCAACACACACAAAATTACAAAAAGAAATTCGTTTTAGAGTTTGCAAAGGGGTTTTGGAGGAAGTCTTGAGATCAACTAGAAAACCAAGTCTCTTCATCAGATCCAAAAGCTTCAATGGAAGAAGGTACATATTCTTCTTCTTCTGTTTGATTTCTTTCATAAATATTCGAGTATGAAGTTTGACTTCTAAGCTTCTGCATATAAAGATTAAGTTATCAAAATAACCAACATTAGAAACGTTGAAATATCACATTGCATCATTGTGAATTTGCCATAGTCGATACTCGTATTGTAATTTTTGATTATATTATGATTTTTGAATGAATGAATTTAATAATACGTAAATTTATGAAATTATTATTTTGAATTATGTTTATGTTTGTATTCTTATTAGACAAACGTGTCGTGTCGTGTCAAGACATAAAACGGATTAAGAGGGATTGATCCTAACCTGACTCGTTATTTATCGTGTCGTGTTAACCCGTTTATTTGCATGTCAATTTCATGTCAGGTTTCGGGTAAAGGTTTAAACCTTTTAAATATATCGTGTCATGTCAGGTTGAAACATTTTAAAAGTTGGAAAGTAAGAGAAGGAGAGGTGAAAAGGAAAAAGTGAAACACTAAAGTTAGGAGGTGAAATGATAAAGTTCATAGTAATAATTAGAGTGGGGGAGCCAAGGGGATTGGTGGTGAGAGGAGTAAGTCACTTTGAATGTTTGAATTTTAATTTTAGTTCTTGTGTTGGGCCCACTACAAGTCTATAATCTATAATATATAATATATTTATAGAAATATGAAATTTATAAAAAATGATATATTATTAAACGAGTCATAAGTCATCTTCGAATCGAAAGTCTTGACTCTAACCCTATATGTTGAAAGTCTTACCTAAACCTACTAATTTCGTGTTGAGTTGTTGCATCGTGTCAAATTTTGCCAGGTCTGATACCTGTATCTAAAGTTTTTTACTTTGTCACTATATAAATATATAATAAAATTTTAAAAACTAATAGTGTGTAATATGAAACTATTTAAATAAATTATATAGAACCACTTATATCGAATAAAGTATGTAGAAGTAATAAACAAATATCTAAATAAAATATCCAAATTAAACTTGACTATCAATTCTTTCATTTTAATAAAATTAAAATACGAAAGTCAATCAAAAGCTATAATTAAATATCTTAGTTTGTCTATATTCTATAAGAAATTGAGGCTTGCCATCCCTTACCAGTAACCAGTCGTTGAAAAGAACCACGGTGTCTCAGTTCTCTCGCCATCTCCCTCCCTATTCTCGTTGACTCGCTGTTTCCTGCCGTTGACTCTATTTCTTTTTAACCGTTCATCTTTCTCGGCCTTGTGGCCGCTTGTTCGTCCTCTATCGTCGCCGTTTCACGTACATTTTCCGTTTGGTAAGACGGTAACTATGAAGGCACACGCTTACAAAGTTAGTTTCACATATTAAGACAATTTCATCTTATTAATCATAAATCACATCATATTTAGTTGTTTTTATTTTATTAATAGGTGACTGAAATATCTTTATGTTTCAATTACTTTTGTTTAGTTTTAGAACACAGTCGGGCATGTTCTTGCGTGAAGTTTAGAATCATGAACAAAACTTTGTGTACATCGGGGAATTCTTCGTCTGAAATAGAATATTTTGTCATTTGGAACAAGCCCATCAATGCTAGTGCAAATCTTTTAAATGTATGCTGATACTAGATCTATTGATGGAGATTCAAATTTGATAAGATCAGTCTTAGCTAATGTTGCGGATCTATAAACTGACTAGTCAAGAAACTTATTTATTTATTTTTTGTTTATGGTTTTGATCTTTTAATTAGCTATATGTTTTGCAGTTCCTTTCATGGAAGGTAATAGTGGATCTTGTAGTTGTATCTACAATGGTATTCGGTGTTGATTTGTTTGAGGATTACCTAAGTGAACTAAAAATCGATTTCATTTAGACAATAGTGGGTATGTTTATGTGGATTAACTGTTAAGTAAATCAAAATAGGGACGTTGTAGGTCAAATGAATCAAAATAGGCACCTGAACTTAGCCGTAAAAAAAGGTTAACCAGTTCAATTAGTTGAGGAAATGATTTTTAATTAATTCTCATGGCTGTGTAATGGGTATTCTATGTCAATACTTAGCCATATATATGTTGGTTAAAGCTTCCACAAACTTGTCACATAAGTGCTACTGCAATGATTAATAGCCCTTTTCGGCTTGAAAAGAGAAAACGTACCTGCCTCTCTTTGTATTCCAACCGAGTTTAGAATGGCCTTTAACATAAAAATCAAAAGCAAAGGTTAAAACATACATATACACATTATGCACCATATAGCTTTGTGGAAATTATGCCTTCCAAAATTGTCAAGTTTCAATACTTCAAGGACTAAAATTTTAACTTGACGTGACATGTTTTCACCATTAAACGGTTGTGGTAGATGCAATTAATGAGGAATCAGATTCAACGACAACTTTCTATTCTTTTCAAAAGGTGTTTGGTGGCTCCATTAATATGCATGTACTAAATATTCCTCGTGTTGGGTAGTGACTTAAACGTCACAAGAAATATATAACGCAGAAGGTCTGAACCAGTTCATTTTGATCATCACAAAAATATACATCACCATTTTTAGCTCTTTGTAATCTTTTTGTTCGAACTCTGTAAACACTGGAATTCCAGTGGATTGTTTTTCGGCTTCCGACCCTCATGGTTTTTCCAGATTTAGGTTTTCCACGTGAATCATTGTATCTTTTTTATGTATCATTTTCATTTATTTTTCATTGGTGGTTGATTATTGTTTGATATTTTGATTTGATCTTATTCCGCATTGAACTAATATTATTCTAAGTTATTCGGATTCTTGGAGTGCAACCACATTCGTCTTTTACTACATAGCTCCGAAAGCAAATTCAAAACTCAAAGGCTGGGGATAAAAGTCAACATATTTACAATTAGGGTTCATACAATGAAATTTAAACATTTTGCAGGTGTATTAATATTTGGTATGAAAAGTTTAGAGGGGCATACGTATTGTATTTTAATCACTTAAAAGTTTTATTTTTAAAGAATTCGAAGATATGATTATTATTATTGAGCTTTTAATTGTTTGCTGAGACTTAAGTTGCATATTGTAACTAATATTATTTCGATTTTATGTAGAAACATTATATATGTACCGGATCGTGACGTCGAAGCACAAGTGAAGAAAGCCGGTGAAACCGACTTTCATAAACAATAACGTGTGGAGGAGTTTCGAAAACCTTGGGAAGGGTGAAGAGTCATCGACACATAACTCGTAATGGTTGTTCTATCTGAACTTCCAAAAGAATCTTCGTCTTCTTCATCAACTCCTGGCCATAGTTCATCAACATGTGGTCCTAGTTCATCAACTCATGGTCATAGATATGATGTATTTTTAAGTTTTAGAGGTGTTGACACTCGTCTTAGTTTTACTAATTATCTTTATGAGGCCCTTATAGATGCCAATATCAATACCTTCTTGGATGATGAAGAGATTGAAACAGGGGAAGATCTGAAACCAGAATTAGAGAGCGCAATTAAGGCATCTCGGGCTTCTATTATCGTATTGTCTAAGAATTACGCTTCTTCAACATGGTGCCTCGATGAATTGGTGATGATCCTTGAGCAGCGTATGACATCCGACCATATTGTCATCCCCATCTTTTATCATGTGGAGCCCACCCATGTTAGGAAGCAACAAAGTAGCTTTGGAGATGCCATGGCTAAACATAAACAAACGATGAAGGCAGAGACAAATCCAATTAAAATAAATCAATGGGCTAAAAAGATGGACCGATGGAGTAAGGCACTTGTAGAAGTTGCTAATTTAAAAGGAAATGATGTAAAAGGAAGGTAACATCTTTCTTACCCATATTTTCATAAACCTTCAACTTTGTTTGAGTAAACACACGAAATTTCATTACCACATTCTCCATATGCGTTTAATAAGTTTTTTTAGTATCATCAAATTGGCATATTTTTCATTCATTAGGATCATGGGGATGACAAAGTGAATCTAAGTATCCTGTTATGTGATCCCATAAATCAATTTATATAGATAGATTAACTGTTACGATATTTTTTTCACACTTGTTACACATTTAGTATTTTATCATAGGTTAGTTCATTTAGATAAACGTTTCACTTATTTTTATATGCTTCTATTAAAAACCAAATTTTAACCATTTGCTGTGTGTCTACTATTAAATATACAATACCACTTCCAAACACTCGTTTTTATGATGAATAACTTCTTTTACATGTAAAAAGATATCCATTCTACACCATACACGTATCCTTGTATATTTTCTTTCTATAGACTATCCAAGGCCGTGGCTCACTGGGCTTATCCAAATTGGGCTCACGTGATGTGTGTGGTTTGTGGTGCTGGGTTAGGATCCTTATAAAGTTAGATGACCCATTAGTGAAATCTTGTATTACATTTGTAGCTTTGGTCTTATTATACATATATTTATGACCTCACACAATAAATGCTTATATGGTTTAAGTGCAAACACAATATGATTTTGATGTGAAAAACGTATTAAAAGTAATAACTATAATTTCCATTTAGATCTAGATTAATTAAATATCCAAATCTGGTTTGTTAGTTTGTAGATTGTGCATTGAAGTTCTTCTTAAATCAAGTTTCAGGTTTGAGAGTGATTTAATTGAAGAAATTGTAAAAGACATCTACCGTAGATTACGTATATCCTTAGGAAGTGTTCGGTCATTTCTTATTGGGATGGAATATCATATTAACTTTGTGACTTCATGGTTGAAAGATGGATCCTCACATACGGCAGACATACTTACTATTTATGGTATAGGCGGGATCGGGAAGACATCTTTAGCCAAACATGTCTATGGGCTATATTCTCGTGAATTCCACACAAGTAGCTTTATTGAAGATATCACAAGGAAATGTGATGGACAGTTTAATGGGTTGCTTGATTTACAAGAACAACTCTGCAATGACATTTCAAAAACAAGTTCAATTAAAGTTCATGATGTTTCGATATACACCACAAAGATAGAGAATGCACTGGCCCGTAAAAAGGTGTTTGTAGTTCTTGATGACATCAGTACTCTTGTTCAGTTGGATGCATTACTTGGAAGCAAAGGTTTTCATCCCGGAAGCAAAGTTATAATAACCACAAAGGACAAATGGTTGACAGAGAGTTGTGAACTATTCAAAAGAAACATTAAACCCAAACATGTAAAAGACTTCCTTGAAGGCTTACATGAGATTAAATCACGACAACTTTTGTGTTCCCATGCGTTCATGTGTAACCATCCCAAGGCAGGTTATGAAGAGGTGACAGATAAGCTTATGAAGTATTGTCAAGGACATCCATTGGCTCTTGAAGTTTTGGGCAAGTCTCTGCATAATCGGGATGTGGCTTACTGGGAAGGGTGCATGGAAGGGCTAAAGAAAAGAAATTAGTTCCCCTATAAATAATGTCTTGAGAATGAGCTTCGACACTTTGCCATCAAACAACGATAAGGAGTTGTTTAAGCATATTGCTTGTTTTTTTGTTGGAACGGATAAAGATGTTAGCGAAACAATATTACAGGCATGTGATATAAACACAAGATCCGGAATCACGAATCTCATTGATAGATGTCTTCTTAGTATCGGACGGAATAATGAATTGAAGATGCATCAGTTGGTTCAAGAGATGGGAAGATTTGAAGTGCATCAAGAATCACTTGACAAGCCATGGAAGCGAAGTCGATTATGGTGTCATAAGGAGTCATTCAGAGTGTTGAAACAAAAAAAGGTAAGAGGCCATGTATACTTTTAGTAGTCTGAATGCCCAAAATATTTTGCGTTGCCTAATTTGCTTATTTGCCTTTTTTTTTCTTCTTCTTAGGGTAAGGGAAATCTTCTAGGCCTTGCCCTTGACATGCGCATGCTTGAGAAAGAGAAGTTGGGAGCATCATTTGAGCTGAAAACAGATGCATTGAGTAGCATGGATAGTCTTATGTTACTACAACTCAATTATGTGCACATGTATGGGTCTTATGAGAACTTTCCAGAGGATCTACGAGGCTTATGTATGCATGGGTTTCATTTAAAGTCTATACCTGCAGAATTACCTATAGAGAATCTTGTTGGTCTTGACATGTCATGTAGCAATATCGAATCATTTGTAAGTTGTTATAGTAATCCACAACGACTTGAGAAGAGGCAAAAGGTAAACTTGTCTTCATTTATTATTCATCCACGTGAGTTGATCAAATTCAATACTATACTAACTTATTTCCATTTTGTAGCTGGATGGATCGTGCTTAAAAGAGAAAAGATTGTTTGGTTCACTAAAGATTCTTAATTTAAGTTTCTGCAAACAACTTCATAGTGTTTGTGACTTTGATCAACTGCCTGTGCTTGAGAGGTTAATACTTAGAAACTGCATTGGTTTGCTTGATATTTGTGAATCAATTGGGCAATGTGTTGAACTTGTCCTCATTGATCTGAGCTACTGCAAGAAGCTTGAAAAACTTCCAAGAAATATAGGGAAGTTAAAGAAGGTTAAAACAGTGTTGCTAGATGGTTGTAATCTTGATGAATCTCGAATCAAGAATATGGATATGGATTCACTGGAAATATTCACGGTTAACAACATTCACATAAACAAAAGAACCTCTTTCTCTTCCTTTGTGGGTGCCATACCACGTGATTTGAAGTCCTTTGCAATGTCTTTACCAAGGTCTTTAGTAAGGTTGTCACTTGCAAATAATAAATTGTCCCATGAATCCTTTCCCACAGACTTTAGTTGCCTATCCATGTTAAGGCATTTATATTTAGATGGTAATCCTATCATTTCCATGCCCAGTTGTGTGAGAACCCTTCCTAGACTTGAGATACTTAGCATGGAGAATTGTAAAAAATTGAAGTCAGTCGAGTATCCTCCACGTACACTAAGAGAGTTGTCTATTAATCCTTTTGATGTGCATTATGTAAAAAAAGTTGTATTTGATCCAGAAATGTGCCCACTCAAGCTATCCGTAAACTGGTTAAATTACTTATCTTCGGTAGATTGCACACGTGGGTCGTACGAAATTGAAGGTGTGGTCAAAATCGAACCAATGGTGAGTGTTGAGGAAAAAGTATTACATCGCTTGGGCTGGACTAATTTAGACTTCTTTAATGAAAGGCGCGTGGGAACTAATTCTTCTGAATCTAAAATCGAGGTTTTGTCTAGTATTTATGTGAATATATATATATATATATATATATATATATATATATATATATATATATATATATATAACATTATTATTAAGGTGATTAACTAAGGTGGTTATATTTGGCAGATGATGATTTATGAATTTGGAATATTCAGCACATTGTATGAGGCGGAGGAGATGCCGAGTTGGTTTAGGCATAGAAGTGTGGGACCATCAATATCATTTACCATCCCATCATCATCATCATCATCATCATCATCATCATCATCATCTCCAAACAACCTTACAGGACTCAACTTCTGCTCTCTGCAAACATCAGAACCTTCTGCTGAGTGTTTTTATTTATCATATGGTCAGTTCCCCATTACGCCAATGATGACAATTAGTAATATAACAAAAAACCGTAGGTGGATATACGAACGTTACAGGGATAAATTTAGTGAAGGTCTAAAGTGTTGGGTGATGTTAAGTCATTGGATGTTTGGAATGAATGAAATGGAGGCTGGTGACCATATTACTATTACTGTTACAGAACCATATGGTGAAGTTATAAAGGAGTGTGGGGTGAGTCTTGTGTATGATGAAGGAGAGAAGATGGATGAAGAAGAAGATGCATTGGGTTATTACAAGTCATGGAATCACATAATTGGTGGAGATCTCTCTCCTTTTCAAACAAAAACAGGAGAATACCTCCTAAACAATACACGTTTTTTTGAGACTGGCATTGAATTGTATCCATATCATCGTAAATTCATTATGGAAGGCCCCAACTTTCAAGGTAGATGTTATTTTTGTTAAATACATTACAGTAATGTCTTATTTGTAATGACCCATTTATTTTTAGTAGATAAATAAATGTTTCATAAAACCCAAATCCACCCATTTATCATTGATTTTATTGACCTCTACTATAAGAGTTTGTTTTTATAAAATATGAAAAATAAAATTTCTACTTCTAATTTTTTAAATGAATCGACCCAAATAGTGATCTGTCTGAATGGGTCTATGTTAACTCATTAAGTCTTCATATGTTGGATCAAATAAATATTGGGACCCAATACAAACTCATCAAGCCTTCTATCTTAAATTAACACATAACTGTTTATCTGTTTTCAGAACAAAAGGAAAAGTATTGGTTCAGAGCTTTTTCTCAAAGAAATTCTAGCACAATTGGCAGCGCACGTGAGGTATACATTTTTGACACCCAAACCTTTCTCTCATCAAATGAATAAAAGGCATACACAACCAAATATGTTGTCATCAAATTTCTTGAATGGCTTAGGATGTATGTAATAAAATAAAAGGAGTTATAACCTTGCAATGGATGCTTGAAAAAGGCAACGTCAAAATATAGTTGGGGCTGATATGATAGGGCATGAAATTTGTCTAATATTTTCTAACTTTTAATCTTAGAGTGGGTGCATACTAATTACGATACCTAATTCCTTCATTTAGGGCTCTAAATTCGGTGTTTTTGGTTGTTATCAAGGTCTTTTGGTTTTTATTTATTTATGATCAAATGTTTGACGCTATCGAGTAAATTTATCTTTTTTTTTTTTTTTGAATTTTAATTATACAATTCAGTTTCCTCTTCTGTCAAAACCTCATACAATGCCTCTACTAGTCTACTGTACTTTTTTAATACAACCTTAGTCTTGGCCCTAAGGGCCTCTTCCTCATTCTGAACTTCCACCAATTCATTTACCTACATTTCATTTTCCTCGGCTTTTTTGAATCTGAATTGATTTCTGACCCTTTAATAAGTTTGTTGATATTGGAGTAGTGACCATAAGGAAGAAGTGGGCTTGTTTATTAGAGTTCTCATCAGATGATGACCAGATCTCCACTTGAGTTGATATTTCTCCACAACCTTTTCCCCATGCATGTGCACTTTCTCATTCGTCTTAACTTCTTGATATTTCTGGAAATTATATTATTCATGCTTCACCACTTTTTTTAACATTGCAATCATTGGAAAAATGATTTTTCTCAGCCATATCTGTGAAACTTAACAGCATGGCCACTTCAGATTTTATGGTGGTTTAAACTTTCTTCATCTTTGGAGGTTTATACTGTGGGGTAGCATTCTGGAAGGTGTTAAATGGAGGTTGTACGTTGTTTGTAATCTTTTCTAAAAGATGATTTCCTCTGTTTGGATTCTTTATGAATTTGTGGAACTTCTTTGATAGAGAATCCAAAATTTTATCACATTTTTTGGAACCCAACTTTCCGCAGCCTCTATCTCTGGTTAATTTACCCCAAATGTATTGGGGTTCACTTCATAGTTTGTATTTCCTCCAAAAAACTTTATACAATTTTGAATTATTATTTGACTACCAGAGGTCATTGGATTCCCTCTAATCAATGGAAATGGTCCCACCGAATTGTATTGGACTTTAAACAAACAGTTTTTTCGTGTTATGCTACTTCTCCATGAACATCATGTGTAGTGATAAACTGCTAAGATATTTAGATCACAATTCTCACTGTTTGCCATTGACCTCCTAGACTAGACATAATAAGATTTAAATTTTTTCACTTGAAGCCTTTTCAACTTGCTAACAAGCATACTACACAAGTCAAGGGTTTCAGTTAGTGACTATTATAATTTTTGCATTCGTTTAGGCCTTGTAGTCTTCTATTTCTATTCATTAACATCTTTCACGTATATTTAGCTGATTCACATATATGTATGAACAAACTTAAAGAGATCTTGTTGTATTCTATTGTCATCATGTTTCAAAGTCACTAGGGTTGAGTTCTTTCCATTCAATGCACCATCTATAATAGATGTTTACGGGTCTACCATGCTAATAACAATCTATCACACTCTAGAAAACAATAAGGAATTGTTTAAGCATATTACTTTTTTTATGGAGTGTTATTAATAGAGGTCTTCTTAGGATAGGACCAAGCAACAGGTTAAGAATGTATAAATTTCTTCAAGAGTTTTGGAGAGATGTTAATCAAAAATCTAAGAAGCCATGAAAACATAGTCGACTATGGCGTCATGAGGAGTCATTAAGTCTTTTGAATCAAGAAAATGTAATATAATATAAATACTCCTAAGTTTCTATCTGTTTTCATAGCATTTTGTATCATATCTCTATATAGTTATATAACTTTTAAAATTTTCTTACTTTTCCTTTATTCACAGGGTAAGGGGGAATCTTCTAGGTCTCGTCCTTGACATGAAAATTCTTGAGAAAGATGGTTGTCTGAATTCAAAATAGATGCATTTAATAAGATGGGTAACCTAATGCTACTTTAAATCAATAGCACGAAACTCAATAAGTTATATCCTAATTTTTTCCAGAAGAATTAAGATGGGTTGCTTATTGTCACCCTAGTAACGATTTATCTTTTTGTTTTTTGTTTTGATAGTTGTATGCTTGATTGCCAAAAACAGGGGAAAACAATATGAATGGTTTTTGAGTTAATTAATACACATGTAATGAATATGATGTAAGTCGTAATGTTGTTTTTATTACTTTATATATTTGTTAATTTTTGTTATTTGGTTCATGTGATTGAGAGAAAAGAGTGTAATATAATGTCTTAATGTTTTAATGCTTTACCCCAATTTCATAATGTTGTTTTGGTTATGCTTCTTTATTCAGTATAATTATACAACAGACACATTTTTGTTCTCTTGTTTCCTTTTTCAAATTTATGATCAACCAGAGGATTGCTACTCTCTGCTTGGGCCACCCGACATATATACCATTCACATCACATCATCAACAAGTGATTGTCATTGGTACTTTTGAAAAGCACGTGGAAGAGGAAGAAAGCTAGCAAAAACAATCTAATACATTTTAAAGTGGCGACACAATAGTATATATTATCTGACCATTGCAAAATAATTTGTATACTGATTTCTAAAAGGAACAATCTCAACTGTAGTCTCTGTTATCATTTCAGAAAGTGTTAAAATGGGGAAATGTTCAGACTACAGATGGGTTTAAATTGGTGACACAATTAGATACGTACCTGATATATATATAATCTCTAACCATTGCAAAATAATTTGTGTACTGATTTCTAAAAGGAACAATGTCAAGTGCAGACAAAGTTGGAGTCTCTTTTATTATTTCAGAAGGTGTACATTAATTAAAAGGGGTAATGTTCTATGCGATGTTAAAAATGATAATCTACCCGTCATTAGTGGCATCAAGTACTAAGATTTTGGCACTTTTGTACACAGTCAATGGAACAATTTGCAGGGTGAAATGGTTAACTCTAAACTCGGGAAGATAGCTTACTTGATTATTAGTTTATTATGATTTACGTAGAGGTGGTGTGGCAACTTTCAACAATCAATGGATTTGGATCAATTTCTGAGGCGTTGTTACTTTTTTCGAAAGTAATCAGTAATGTGGCTCTGGCGATTATCCCGATCTTAGCGGTTGTTATATTTCAGGAAAAGATGAAGCTAATTGCTACCGTGTTAACCATTTACGGATTTGCTTTTTATGTTTATCATTATTATCTTGATGAATCATTATCTATGAAACTCGGCCAAGAAACGGAAATGAAATTGTGAAACATAAAAACAAACATCTATAAGAAGTTACAATCACGAGAACAGTTATTACGATTCCTTGTAGTCGCCTACTTTTATGACAATAATCAATAAAGTTGTGTTTATTACACATGACTCTCTCGCCACTACTGGAGAGGCTTTATAAGGTTATTTTTAGTGATAAGGGTTAACAAGGCTTTTGCACAAACAGGATTGATATTAAGTTCCTGTCTCACCTAAAAGGTGGGACAAAAAAGGTGCAGTTGTTGTGCAATCGGCGGTACAAGTCCAATATATGTCAAACAAAATAAAAGGTTCCTAGCTCCATCAAATAGCTTAATACGGTTCTCGATTCTAGCAGTTCCGGTTCCACTAGACCGAACCGGAGGAGGCTAAAATTATTTAACGGGATGGAAAATGACTGAATGGGACTGCAAAATGACTTACTGGGGCTGTAAAATGACTTAATGAGCTGGAAATGTCTTAATGAGGCCGGAAAACGGCTTAATGAGCAGGAAAATAACTTAATGGAGTTGGAAAGCGACTTTAGAACCAAAATCCAAGAACCAGATTAGTCCCTTAATGGTCCAATTCCCGGTTTTTCGTTTCAGCTTCAACTGGTTCCCCCGTATTTTGGTTGGTTCTACCAAATTCATAACAAATGCATTAAGCCCTTAACAATTTAGCAAAGTATCAAACTACCAAATTCAAAATAAAATGCATTAAGTCCTTAACAATTTAGCAAAGAACCAACCTACCAAATTCATAACAAATGCATTAAGCCCCTAACAATTTAACAAAGTACCAACCTACCAAATTCATAAAGTACCAAACCACAAAATTCACACAATCAAGCAAAGTACCATAGCATTCGATTATCAATTTCATATAATAAGTACATGACATGGTGCGATGATTATGACTGTAGTTACCACTCAGAGGAAACACTAGCTAGTACCCACCTCGGAATATGTTTGCACCCGATACCTCTCACATGTCCCCTTCAACCCAAATTGATATCGGACCCAAGACTCTCTCAAATGTGCTTATTCAATCAATCAGGCTCAGATTATTGGAGGAGGCCGAGTTGAGTTTGAAAACAACTGTAACTGATAGCCCTTTCTCTATATCTTAGTATAACAGTTCATACATTCTTTCAACCCTAAGAAGCTCGTCTATTAGAATTACCAATCCCGATCAGATGTGCCAATAGGTGAGAATGTCTATATTAATTACTTCTATGTGCTCTATGGCGATGGCCTATTTCTAAACAAAAATTGAGTTGCTTTGTTTTCGAATACACGAAAAGGAGTTGGATTTCCAATAACAGATGCCCAATAATGCTATCAGTTAATGGGTCATGCGATTGGCAATTTATTGTTCAGATGTAGATTGTGGAGTCTCCGCTGATCTAATCTTGTATCCACTGGTATCTGATTCTGATTACACATCAGACTAGTCTCTGGCCAAAGAAGCCCTGGAGAGAGATGATCTGAACTTCCTTCCAGTGATCTCCGGTGAATTAAAAAAGTACCGGTTCCTCTTCTCCGGTAAGAACTCCGATGTGAAGTATATATCAAGGTCTATAAGAGTTTGATTTTTCCGTTTAAATTATTGGTAATCACAATAGAGTTCGCATCAGATCGGAATCCATGAGTATAAGTAAATATCTTATGAAGCTTCAGACGGTTTACCGACAATTAATATCAAGGGATGTCAAGTTGATTACTGGATTAGTTTTCGGAAAGGGTTGTGGTGTTACAAGGAGCATAAAACGAAGGGTAAGACTCCCAAGGGATGTCAAGTTGATTACTTGAACTCCGGCGAGATGAGAGGGAATAATGTTTGGAAGACCATTTTCCGGCGAAGACTTCGTTGACTTATTCTGATAGTTTTGTTTACGTTTTCCTCCGGCGAACTATAGTCAAGTGACAGAGTTCCATCATAATTCCAACGGAGACCATCAACTGTGGTGGCTTATGAGAAGTGGTAAGACCTCCCACGAGAGAGGCATGTTTTAGAAAGGAGAAATCCTGTTTTTTCCGGTAAACAACATAATAACGGTGGTCGATTATTGCCGCCGCCGAAGTAGTGTACTGTGTACCTGAACAAGGAGGAGGCGTGTGGTATCTGGCGACTTTTGGTAAATGAGGAAATGTGCTCAAATATTTCAAATATTAGAAAACGTATCGAATGATCTCTTATTGGGCCTTTTAAGTTATTGAATTAAATCAAATGGTTAAACTACATAATAGGTATTTTGGGCCAACAGTAATTTAATAACACGCTTAAAAACTTTAGGTATTTTTAAATTTGTAAGATTTTCTAAAATTTTTAACTAAAAAATATGAAGTCTATGAAAAAAACTGGTAAATGTGAATTTTCCTAAATATGTTTATACATAATTGCCGTCTAAGTCAGGCACCATATTATATATGCTTCATATACATATTTTATAATGAATCTAATTTAAGAGATTTTTAATAACCAAAATGAGAATATATAAAACGTATGATTTCATATGGATATTGATATGGGTTTATTAAGTTGATCATTTATTTAGTTGGGAAATACTTTTAAATAGATAGTAATTGTTAGTTGGATCTTATTTAGCTTAATCAATTAATTAAATAGAGATAAATATTATTGATCTAAATAGCTAAATTAGAGTAAAATAGAAATAATATTTGTAATATGCATTTAAATTTATGTGATTTTTCTCATAGGAGAAACTAGTGAATGATGAGAGGATATATAGGCTTTGACATTTCAAAACACGACCATGTTGTATCTTGGGAAACAAAAACCCAATACTGGAAAAATTTATTTTAAGGATATTGTGTAAAAAACATGCCTCAACATTTTCTGTTTTCTTGTTTGATTTTGTACATTTTCATAATATAATTCCTACAAGAATGTGTCTTCATAGCTACATACATACATGAACATAAGGAGAACATAAGCAACGATGATAGACGTTGAGCCAACAATGAAAGCTGCAAAGTGAATAATGGTATGTCGGCAAAGGAACTTTGTATATATACAAAGAAACTTTTTATAACACATCAACAAGGTATCAGGTTAATGATATGTACCTAATTGAAAGCAGGAGACTTTGTATATATACACAAAGATGTGAGAAATACAGAGATTACAAAAGATATGTACAAGAGTAACAAACTAAGAAACAAATAAATCTAATCTTTTAGAGGATATTCATAATCATTGTTATTATCCTTAATACCCCCTCCCCCAAGAGAATCGTGGGTTACGGTCCAACGTCAATCTTGGAACGAAAGGTGGATAATAAGGGTTGAGGAAGACTTTTAGTGAAGACATATGTAATGTTTAAGTGTGATGGAATGAATTGAGTATTTAGCTCCCCTAATTGAACAAGTTCACAAGTGAAATGATAGTCGACTTCAATATGTTTTGTGTTGTAACACCCCGTTTATTTAATAAATAAATAAACAAATTAACGAATGAAAGTAGCCCTAAAATTTATAATTTAATAGCAAGGTGTGGGTCTCGAGGAGTTAACTGTCATAATTTTAGAAGGTGGGGATTAAAGTGTAAAATCCGGACTTAATCTGTAAGCAATATTGAAGACAGGGGCTGCTTGGTAACAATTAGGACTCGATATGAAATGAATTATGAAAACAAGGGCTAAAGAGTTAATTAAGGACCTCATTTGAAAATATTTATAGAGGGAGGGGCCACTTAGTAAAATATGGGACTTATTTTGTAAAGGAGTTACATGGATGGGGTTAAAAGGGTAAATATTGGATTATATTTGAAAGAAAAGGGAAGGGAGGGACTGCTGTTGCCATTATGGCAAACTTTTATATGAGTCGGGTATTTAAGGTCCCGTAACCCTAACCCTAGAGGGGATCTACAGCCGCCACTTCTATCCATCCTTATGCCCCCTCACCGGCGCCACCACCACCCCATTTTCCGATCAGCGAATGGCCGCCATGCAAACACCGAGTCTCCACCGCTCTTCTTCTCCTTCTTCTTCTTCAGTCACTGCCACGAGACGTTGCATCCATCACCTG